AAAGTGAGTTTCAGATCATGTTTTCATTTCTAGGAATCTGGAATAGCAGCCCTTGACATTAAGAAACTTAAGGATTCTGGTCTATATACTGTGGAATCAGTCATGTACGCTCCTAGAAAGGATCTTGTGCAAATAAAGGGGATCAGTGAAGCTAAAGTTGACAAAATTATAGAAGCAGGTTTGTCCTTTTCAGTTCTGACCACATCCTGCTTCACTCGCTGCTGCAACTATGCATATCAGCAAACTAATCTTACTAACACCAACCAACAGCTTCAAAATTGGTGCCCTTGGGGTTCACTTGTGCAAGCCAACTCCATGCGTAGAGGCTTGAAATCATTCAAATAACATCTGGATCAAAAGAACATGAAGGTCTTGGAAGGTAGGGTTTAATTTCTGGACGGCTTATTGCAATTTAAACATGAAGGAAAGAAAATTCGCATGATTTAATGAATTAAAAAATATCATTTGAATTTGAAAGAGTTTTAATCAAATTTGAAATTCATCCATATTCTCCAAGGTAAAAACCAACCCTTATATTTTTGCTTTCTAGACACAACCAAACATAATCATTCCTTTTGAGTATTGAGGTGCAAATTAAATGATGAATGATAATGGTTGTGATTAATCACCTGGTTAGGGCAACTGCAATACCAGATGGCTGGATGGGGTTAGATGTTGGAAATGATACAATCATATATTTGGGGAAGCTTTGGATGCCACCCAAAAAATTCTTCTCCAACTGGTCACATCTCATAATTAACTACAAAGTGACATTCTTATGTTAGTTAATTGTGTATTTTGTGAGGCTCATGTCTTCCCATTTTGTCCTATACAGACGCCTTTTGGATGTGAATGAGAGAATGACATTCTTCTTGCTCCTCTGTTACAATGAATATCACAAAAGCCAATTCTCCTGCATATCACAATGGCCAGTTCTCCTTAAGCTGTACGGTGATTTCCTCTTGTCCAGCATTCATACCTTCCCGGTGAAATAGGCATAATTTTCGCGTGTCCCCTAGCAATGGATTACAATCCTTGGGCGATTCGAATTGTTAGCATAATCAACCCCCGATTTCCAGATTCTTGGCGGTGCGTATCAAATGTGCAGATTTCCCGGTATGATTGATACGTTTTTTCTGATTCCTCGTCTTNGAGGTGAGGGGGGTAAAATGGGTGTGGTGTGGGTTTATGTCGTTCTCCGTGGAGTCAAGAAAGGCAAAATCGGGGGGTGAGACCGGGTGAGAGAAAGGGTAGGTGTGTTCATCGAAGACCACATGACGGGAAATTACAATTTTATGGGTGGGAAGGTCAAGGCGGCGGTAACCCCGTTGGTTAGACGGGTACCCAAGGAAAACACACCGGGCCAGACGGGGGGCGAGCTTGTGTGGAGCAGTAGCTGAAAGATTTGGATAACAGAGGCACCCGAAGGCCTGGAGGTGAGAGTAAGTGGGTTTCGAACCATACAGGGCTTCATGAGGAGTGTGGTTTTGAAGAGTGGTGGTGGGTAGAATATTGAAGAGGTGGGAGGCCATATGTAACGCCTCAACCCAGAAAGTAGGTGGGAGTTGGGCTTGAAATAGGAGGGAGCGGACAGTATTATTTATGGTGCAAATGGTACGTTCAGCCCGTCCATTTTGCTGGCTAGTGTGTGGATAGGAGAAGCGAAAAAAATGCCCAAGGAGTCGAAGAAATTCCTTAGAGGAGCGTTTTTATATTCGGTACCATTATCACATTGGACAGCCTTAATAGTAGTGTTAAACTGATCTTTCACAAAGGCAATAAAAGTGTGAAGATGTGAGTATGCTTCAGATTTACTTCTAAGAGGAAACACCCATAAAAAATGAGAATAATCATCTAAGAGCAACATGTAATGTTTAAAACCAGTAACACTAGTAACAGGCGATTGCCACAAATCAGTATGTAAAAGTTCGAAAGGAAGAGTAGAAATACGACTCGAAGACTCAAATGGGAGACGAACATGTTTTCCCAACTGACATGCATGACAAAGAGAGTGCTGTAATTGAGTAAAAGGAATATCAAAGGAGAGACTAGAGATTCCACAGAGAACGGCAAGGCTCGGGTGACCCAAACGACGATGCCAGAGCTCCGGACTTCCGGTGACAACGTGGGCCTGGGCATGGGCAGGGGCTACGGTTGGGCTCATGGGGTAGAGTGGGCCGGCATTATTGGACCGATGAATCACGGTTCCCGTCAGCATATCCTTCACAGAAAAACCAGTGGAGTCAAATTCAATTGAACAATTATTATCACGGGTGAATTATCGAACATAAATAAGGTTGTGGATTATGTGCGGGGAGACAAGGATGTTTTGTAAGGCTTGGGGAGGGGAGGTGGGGAAGTGGTAATTACCGGTTTCCGTAGTGCGTACTTTAGAACCATTACCTACAGTAATATATGATGATGAATTTAAAGAATGAGTACGAACATGAGAAAGAGTACTTGGGTCCGAGGTGATGTGGTGTGTGGCGCCGGTATCCATGTACTAGTTTCGATCACGGAGGGTGAGGGTGTCAAAGGTGTGGGCTAGGGTGGTGGGTGTGGGGGGTTGG